AGAGACCAGAGAGAGAGACCAGAGAGAGACCAGAGCGAGACCAGAGAGAGACCAGAGCGAGACCAGAGAGAGACCAGAGAGAGACCAGAGAGAGACCAGAGAGAGACCAGAGAGAGACCAGAGAGAGACCAGAGAGAGAGACCAGAGAGAGACCAGAGAGAGACCAGAGAGAGACCAGAGAGAGACCAGAGAGAGACCAGAGCGAGACCAGAGCGAGACGAGAGAGAGACCAGAGAGAGACCAGAGAGAGACCAGAGAGAGACCAGAGCGAGACCAGAGCGAGACCAGAGAGAGACCAGAGAGAGACCAGAGAGAGACCAGAGAGAGACCAGAGAGAGACCAGAGAGAGACCAGAGAGACCCCAGAGAGAGACCAGAGAGAGACCAGAGAGAGAAACCAGAGAGAGACCAGAGAGAGACCAGAGAGAGACCAGAGAGAGACCAGAGCGAGACCAGAGAGAGACCAGAGAGAGACCAGAGAGAGACCAGAGAGAGACCAGAGAGAGACCAGAGAGAGAGACCAGAGAGAGACCAGAGAGAGCGACCAGAGAGAGAGACCAGAGAGAGAGACCAGAGAGAGACCAGAGAGAGACCAGAGAGAGACCAGAGAGAGACCAGAGAGAGAGACAAGAGGGAGACCAGAGAGAGACCAGAGAGAGACCAGAGAGAGACCAGAGAGAGATCAGAGAGAGAGACCAGAGAGAGAGACCAGAGAGAGACCAGAGAGAGACCAGAGAGAGACCAGAGAGAGACCAAAGAGAGAGACCAGAGAGAGAGAGACCAGAGAGAGAGAAACCAGAGAGAGACCCACAGACACACACACAGACGCACACACACACACACCACACAGACGCACACACAAACACACACACACACATACACACACACAGACGCACACACACACACACACGCACACACAAACGCACACACACACATACGCACACACACAGACGCACACACACACACACAGACACACACACAGACACAGACGCACACAGACACACCCACACACACACAGAGACACACACAGACGCACACACACACAGACACACACAGACGCACACACACACAGACGCACACAGACACACCCACACACACACACACACAGAGACACACACAGACGCACACACACACACACACACAGACGCACACACACACAGACGCACACAGACACACACACACACACACACAGACGCACACACAAACACGCACACACAGACACACACACACAGACGCACACAAACACACACACACAGACGCACACACACACACGCAGACACACACACACAGACGCACACACACACACACACACACACACAGACACACACACACACAGACACACACACACAGACACACACACACACACACACACACAGACACACACACACACACAGACGCACACACAAACACACACAAAAACAGACGCACACACACGCAGACACACACACACAGACGCACACACACACACACAGACGCACACACACGCACACACACACACACAGACACACACAGACGCACACACACGCACACACACACACTCAGACGCACACAGACGCACACACACGCACACACACGCACACACACACAGACGCACACACACACACACAGACACACACAGACGCACACACACGCACACACACACAGACGCACACACACACACATAGACGCACACACACGCACACAGACACACACAGACGCACACAGATATCTAGAGGCTGATGAAATATTAACGGCCTCCACCGCTGGAGAAAATGGTCTGAGAGTCTCCTGCTCCTCTCAGTCCAAACAGCAGAAGATGAGACGCCAACAAACATCCGCAGCAGCGACGTCAGAGCGAAGTCCGTTACGTTTGTTGTGACACGTTCAAGACGGTGGAAATAAACGGAATAAACACAAGAGTTCTTAAGGCAAAGCAGAGGATTCCTTTGGACCTCTCTGTCCTGAAGAAAGATCCTCTCACTTTTATCTCACGTACTGTAAACTCTTCATGAGAAAATAAAGTGTGTTATTTACCAGAGAAGAAGTTCTTGGCGCGCAGGAAGCTGACGCTGAGGCGCAGGATGGACAGTTTGTCCAGACTGGCAGTGACCTCCTCTGGGAACGGCAGCAGAGAGGCCAGTCTCTCCAGCTCCCCGTTCAGCCGGTCTCTGTGGCGCTTGGACGGGTTGGACTTGGCGCCCTCATTGGCCGCGGGCTTTACCCTGGAATGTAGAAAACACATTATTGACTGACATCGCTTCCACTTTCACTGTTCAGGGTTTGTTTGTGCTTCACTGCACTGAAGGAGACAAAGGAACATAATAACTATAATAATAATGTACATAATTAATAAGTATAACTTAACCATATATGCACTTCCATTTATTTAAATTAAAACATCACATAGAAAGTATAATATCATAATTAAATATCACTTTGTGAACAAACTCCACAGATTAAAACATCTGAGACATTAAAGTCCATCTTTAATCTTTAACACCTCGATAAGAACAGAAGGAGTCTGTGGAACTTTAAACAAAGGAGAGAATGATTTTTCATGTATTTATTTACTTCAGTCAAAAACACAAAACAAATGAAACATCGACATCTTTAATTCTTTCAACAATGAAGATGGTTTTGGTTTAAAGTTTGGTTGAAATATTATAAAATAATTATTGTTATTAATAAAACATAATAATCTTATTACAGGGATTCTGTGGAATGTTCTCGTGACACAACATAAAGCTCTGGCTCTGAAAAGGAAAGTTCTGGTCCAAGAGAGAGATTCCGTGAGAAATACGGAATCTGTCCAAAAGTAACGTTTATTTTTCTAATGTTTTTATTTATTTTTCTAATCACGTGTTTAGGCTGAATAATAATTGGCTGATATTAGCCCGAATATTAACAAAATATTAATTATTATAGGCTGTTTCAAGATGAGAGCAACATAAACGCTGCATCCGTCCCTCCCGCATGATGAGGGCCCCCTGAGGGCTCCATAAGGGCCCCGTGAGGGCTCCATGAGGGCCCCGTGAGGGCTCCGTGAGGGCCCCGTGAGGGCCCCGTGAGGGCTTCATGAGGGTCCTGTGAGGCTCCGTGAGGGCCCCGTGAGGCTCCGTGAGGGCCCCGTGAGGGTCCCGTGAGGGCCCCGTGAGGGCCCCGTGAGGGCCCCGTGAGGGCTCCGTGAGGGTCCCGTGAGGGCTTCATGAGGGCCCCGTGAGGGCCCCGTGATGCGGGCTTCTGGTGCGGGCCACTGCGTATATTGGCAGAAAGGCGCAGGCAGGTGCGCCTCCAGAGCCAATGCGCTGCTGCTGGGGTTCAGCCCAGTGTGTCAATAATAAATAAATAATCCAAACGGTTCGGATGAAGACGCAGATGAAGTGTTCGTGCCCAGAGGGTTTCCTCCGTGTCTCACGGGGATTTGCATGAACAGGGCTCTGCTGAAGGTTAAAACAGGCCGTGCAGGCCTCGGCAATAATCCACAGCTTTAGAGCGCACAGGATTTGAACCCACGGTGTTCTGCTTAAACCCTGAAGCAGAACATGAGAGGCCGTGTTCTAAAGATGGGTCCAGAACCTATGGTCTACAGGAACTTTGGTTAATTAAACAGTGAATCTGTCTCTGTGTCGGAGTCATAAACGCACACAGTCAAACTTAAATATAAATATAAATGTAAAAGCAGCTGTCGTCCTTGTGTTGGACTTACGCTCTCTGCACGGGCTTTCTCCTCTTGCGTCCCGCGTACATCACGGCTCCCGGTGCACGGATGTCACGGAGGTCTGAGCTGCAGACTGCGCTCTCTACATTTACAATCCACTCTTTATCTGCAGCTTCGGGACTAACGCAGGAAAAGAGGCAGAATCACAGACTCCTCTGGAAACAGACTGATCCCTTTGGACTGAACTGAGCCTGAAAAGTCCGATGGAAACGGCCTCGGGATGTGGTCACGGAGCGTGGGTCCGGTGGGTCCGGTGGTCTTCAGAGTGATGATGAAGCTGCATCTTCATCAGACAAACGTTACCTGCTGCTTCCGGGACATCCTGACTTCTGCTTAATCCCCCTAAAACATGTTTAATAAAAAGCAGTTATTTAAAGTGGCCCATAACAGTGGTGCCATTAGCGACGGCCCGAGACCAAGGGGCCGGACGTGTGCGCGCATTCCTCAGGCGGGTGCACCGGACACAGATTTTCATCGGGAGCGCGCATCACAAGCTCCTTATTTCGCATTAGAGCAAAAGGCAAAGCAGGAGGAGGGGTCGGTGGCGCGGTCACGCAGGAGAATCTCCTGGAAACACAGCCCAAGCGCGTCCACCTCTGCGCGCTCCCGAGCCGCCCTGGCCGTCCAATCAGCGTGCAGATGAGAGATGGAGGTTTATGTTGAGCCTGCAGTGGCCACACTGAATGTGGGTCAGGGGTTAGACTTGTAAATAATGAAAGAGAACAGAGAAACCCACGAGTCCAGTCCTTCACCTGTGCCGAGGCGTTGGAATCATTTATTTAACTTTATTAGACAAACTGACAGTGACATGATAATACACCTCTCCACAATAACACCAACACCATAACAACACAATAACAACACTAACAGCACAACAACACTAACACAGGCTAACAGCATTTCACACATACAGTTTGGTCCGTACATGCTTCTATAGTTTAACTTTATCTCTACACTTGCGTTAGCGCCCCCTGTGGACAACTGTGGACAACCAGGCGCCTCCAATTACTGCAGTGCAGTTTATGCATTTTCAAGAAAACAATCCAACTGAGTACTGTGTGGGAAAGGTTCGATGTAAAAAGACAACGTTTATTTGTATGGCACAATTCATGCAGGAGGAAACAGTGCTAAGGAGAAATGGAAAATCATTCAGACCAAATCTCTGGATGCATAAACATCGTCGGAGCAGAAGCCTTAATGTTTGACAAGAGCATCTATGACTCCTGACCTTACAGTCTACAGCAGGCCCCCAGCGGCCCCCAGCGGGCCCCCAGACTCCACAACCATGGCAGAAATGACATATCCAGTAGGTTTTATTGTTATCTGTTAGTGAACAGTAGGTCAAAACATTTGTGTTTGGACAGCAGACAAAGACAGACATCTCTGTGCTGCAGTTAATGCATACATTGACCTGATAAGACATGACTCAAGGCTCAATACTCAAGACATGACCGATACTCCCCCAGTCTCTCCCAGTCTCCCCCAGTCTCCCCCAGTCTCTCCCAGTCTCCCCCAGTCTCCCCCAGTCTCTCCCAGTCTCTCCCAGTCTCCCCCAGTCTCCCCCAGTCTCCCCCAGTCTCTCCCAGTCTCCCCCAGTCTCCCCCAGTCTCCCCAGTCTCCCCCAGTCTCCCCCAGTCTCTCCCAGTCTCTCCCAGTCTCCCCCAGTCTCCCCCAGTCTCTCCCAGTCTCTCCCAGTCTCCCCCAGTCTCCCCCAGTCTCCCCCAGTCTCCCCCAGTCTCTCCCAGTCTCCCCCAGTCTCCCCCAGTCTCTCCCAGTCTCTCCCAGTCTCCCCCAGTCTCCCCCAGTCAGAAAATAGGCCACTTCTGTGGATGCTGCAGGGTTGTGTTGATTCCTTTGCATTATATCAGAATAAATACATGTAACATCTGTTTTATAAACAACTAGAAACTTGCAATGGCTGAAGCCATTGCGATTGACTGCGGAACAGATCTAATGTGGAAATCTGCTAAAAAAAATCCTTGAAATCCTTTAAAAAGCCTTGAAACTGTTAAAATACTTGATAGATATTTGAAACTCCTGAAGTCCTTGAAATTGTTGAAACCTTTAAACTCCTGAAATCCTTGAAACTGTTGAAACATTGAAACTCCTGAAATCCTTGAAACTTTTTTAAACCTGGAAACTGTTGAAAGTGTGGAAACTCCTGAAATCCTTGAACCTCCTGATATCCTTGAAACTGGTTAAATTCTTAAACAGCTGAAATCCTTGAAACTACTGAATGTATTGAAAGTGTCCTTGAAACTGAAAAATCCCCTCACCGCTGAAACAATTTGGTTCCTGTAACTAAGGAAACCTGGTCTGTGGTCATTATCTGGTGGTGGTCTGAGTCTTCGTTTGGGTCTTGGTCTGGTGGTATAATGCAACCTATTAGGTTGCATTATACATGAAAAAACCCTATTAAGTTGCATTATACTGGTTTACATGAAAAAAACCCTATTAAGTTGCATTATACTGGTTAACATGAAAAAAACCCTATTAAGTTGCATTATACTGGTTTACATGGAAAAATCCCTATTAAGTTGCATAATACTGGTTTACATGGAAAAAACCCTATTAAGTTGCATTATACTGGTTTACATGGAAAAATCCCCATTAAGTTGCATTATACTGGTTTACATGAAAAAAACCCTATTAAGTTGCATTATACTGGTTTACATGAAAAAAAACCCTATTAAGTTGCATTATACTGGTTTACATGAAAAAACCCTATTAAGTTGCATTATACTGGTTTACATGAAAAAACCCTATTAAGTTGCATTATACTGGTTTACATGGAAAAATCCCTATTAAGTTGCATTATACTGGTTTACATGGAAAAATCCCTATTAAGTTGCATTATACTGGTTTACATGAAAAAAACCCTATTAAGTTGCATTATACTGGTTTACATGGAAAAATCCCTATTAAGTTGCATTATACTGGTTTACATGAAAAAACCCTATTAAGTTGCATTATACTGGTTTACATGGAAAAATCCCTATTAAGTTGCATTATACTGGTTTACATGGAAAAATCCCTATTAAGTTGCATTATACTGGTTTACATGAAAAAACCCTATTAAGTTGCATTATACTGGTTTACATGGAAAAATCCCTATTAGGTTGCATGATTACACTGAAGTCCTTGAAACTGCTGAAGTCCTTGAAACTGCTGAAGTCCTTGAAACTGCTGAAGTCCTTGAAACTGTTGAAGTCCTTGAAACTCTTGAAATCTTGAAACTGCTGAAATCCTTGAAACTGTTGAATCCTTGAAACTGTTGAATCATTGAAACTGTAGAAATGTCTGAAAGAGCTGAAGTCCTATTAAAATGCATGGGCCTATTAAAATGCATTGCAGAATTCTCAATGCAGATTTTTGTCCGATTGCGGAAAAACCGGAAATCGCTGAAGTCCCAAAAGTAATAGCAATAATCTCCCAAACATGTGGAACGTTTTGATGTATAACTTGTGGAAATTGTTGAAAATGTGAAAGCTGTGAAACGTGTCAAAAAAAATGACGGAATAAAGAAATACAAAACCAATGGTTGACTGCGGAAGGTTCCGCAGTCAATCAATTAAAGCCAGGGTTGTTTTTCAATCAGTGAAAGAATGAAATAGATAATTGATTGACTGCGGAACCTTCCGCAGTCAACCATTGGTTTTGTATTTCTTTATTCCGTCATTTTTTTTGACACGTTTCACAGCTTTCACATTTTCAACAATTTCCACAAGTTATACATCAAAACGTTCCACATGTTTGGGAGATTATTGATTGACTGCGGAACCTTCCGCAGTCAACCATTGGTTTTGTATTTCTTTATTCCGTCATTTTTTTTGACACGTTTCACAGCTTTCACATTTTCAACAATTTCCACAAGTTATACATCAAAACGTTCCACATGTTTGGGAGATTATTGCTATTACTTTTGGGACTTCAGCGATTTCCGGTTTTTTCCGCAATCGGACAAAAATCTGCATTGAGAATTCTGCAATGCATTTTAATAGGCCCATGCATTTTAAATAGGACTTCAGCTCTTTCAGACATTTCTACAGTTTCAATGATTCAACAGTTTCAAGGATTCAACAGTTTCAAGGATTTCAGCAGTTTCAAGATTTCAAGAGTTTCAAGGACTTCAACAGTTTCAAGGACTTCAGCAGTTTCAAGGACTTCAGCAGTTTCAAGGACTTCAGCAGTTTCAAGGACTTCAGTGTAATCATGCAACCTAATAGGGATTTTTCCATGTAAACCAGTATAATGCAACTTAATAGGGATTTTTCCATGTAAACCAGTATAATGCAACTTAATAGGGTTTTTTCATGTAAACCAGTATAATGCAACTTAATAGGGGTTTTTTCCATGTAAACCAGTATAATGCAACTTAATTAGGGGTTTTTACATGTAAACCAGTATAATGCAACTTAATAGGGTTTTTTCCATGTAAACCAGTATAATGCAACTTAATAGGGTTTTTTCCATGTAAAACCAGTACAATGCAACTTAATAGGGATTTTTCCATGTAAACCAGTATAATGCAACTTAATGGGGATTTTTCCATGTAAACCAGTATAATGCAACTTAATGGGGATTTTTCCATGTAAACCAGTATTATGCAACTTAATAGGGATTTTTCCATGTAAACCAGTATAATGCAACTTAATAGGGATTTTCCATGTAAACCAGTATAATGCAACTTAATGGGGATTTTTCCATGTAAACCAGTATTATGCAACTTAATAGGGGTTTTTACATGTAAACCAGTATAATGGAACTTAATAGGGGTTTTTACATGTAAACCAATATAATGCAACTTAATAGGGATTTTTACATGTAAACCAGTATAATGCAACTTAATAGGGATTTTTCCATGTAAACCAGTATAATGCAACTTAATAGGGTTTTTTACATGTAAACCAGTATAATGCAACTTAATAGGGATTTTTCCATGTAAACCAGTATAATGCAACTTAATAGGGTTTTTTACATGTAAACCAGTATAATGCAACTTAATAGGGGTTTTTACATGTAAACCAGTATAATGGAACTTAATAGGGGTTTTTACATGAAAACCAGTATAAAGGATAACAGTTTAAAGGATATCAGGAGCTTCAAATACTTCAGGAGTTTCAAAGATGTTTAAAGTATTTTAACAGTTTCAAGGATTTCAAGGATTTTTCAGCTAAATTCCACATTAGATCTGTTCCGCAGTCAATCGCAATGGCTTCAGCCATTGCAACGGTTTCTAGTTGCTATTACTTTTGGGACTTCAGCGATTTCCGGTTTTTCCGCAATCGGACAAAAATCTGCATTGAGAATTCTGCAATGCATTTTAATAGGCCCATGCATTTTAATAGGACTTCAGCTCTTTCAGACATTTCTACAGTTTCAATGATTCAACAGTTTCAAGGATTCAACAGTTTCAAGGATTTCAGCAGTTTCAAGATTTCAAGAGTTTCAAGGACTTCAACAGTTTCAAGGACTTCAGCAGTTTCAAGGACTTCAGCAGTTTCAAGGACTTCAGCAGTTTCAAGGACTTCAGTGTAATCATGCAACCTAATAGGGATTTTTCCATGTAAACCAGTATAATGCAACTTAATAGGGATTTTTCCATGTAAACCAGTATAATGCAACTTAATAGGGTTTTTTCATGTAAACCAGTATAATGCAACTTAATAGGGTTTTTTTTTTCATGTAAACCAGTATAATGCAACTTAATGGGGATTTTTCCATGTAAACCAGTATAATGCAACTTAATAGGGGTTTTTACATGTAAACCAGTATAATGCAACTTAATAGGGTTTTTTCCATGTAAACCAGTATAATGCAACTTAATAGGGTTTTTTCCATGTAAACCAGTATAATGCAACTTAATAGGGTTTTTTCCATGTAAACCAGTACAATGCAACTTAATAGGGATTTTTCCATGTAAACCAGTATAATGCAACTTAATAGGGTTTTTTACATGTAAACCAGTATAATGCAACTTAATGGGGATTTTTCCATGTAAACCAGTATTATGGAACTTAATAGGGATTTTTCCATGTAAACCAGTATAATGCAACTTAATAGGGTTTTTTCATGTAAACCAGTATAATGCAACTTAATAGGGTTTTTTTTCATGTAAACCAGTATAATGCAACTTAATGGGGATTTTTCCATGTAAACCAGTATAATGCAACTTAATGGGGATTTTTCCATGTAAACCAGTATAATGCAACTTAATAGGGGTTTTTACATGTAAACCAGTATAATGCAACTTAATAGGGTTTTTTCCATGTAAACCAGTATAATGCAACTTAATAGGGTTTTTTCCATGTAAACCAGTACAATGCAACTTAATAGGGATTTTTCCATGTAAACCAGTATAATGCAACTTAATAGGGATTTTTCCATGTAAACCAGTATAATGCAACTTAATAGGGATTTTTCCATGTAAACCAGTATAATGCAACTTAATAGGGATTTTTCCATGTAAACCAGTATAATGCAACTTAATAGGGATTTTTCCATGTAAAACAGTATAATGCAACTTAATAGGGATTTTTCCATGTAAACCAGTATAATGCAACTTAATAGGGATTTTTCCATGTAAACCAGTATTATGCAACTTAATAGGGATTTTTCCATGTAAACCAGTATAATGCAACTTAATAGGGTTTTTACATGTAAACCAGTATAATGGAACTTAATAGGGGTTTTTACATGTAAACCAGTATAATGGAACTTAATAGGGGTTTTTACATGTAAACCAGTATAATGCAACTTAATAAGGATTTTTACATGTAAACCACTATAATGTAACCTAATAGGGGTTTTTACATGTAAACCAGTATAAAGCAACTTAATAGGGATTTGTACATGTAAACCAGTATAATGCAACCTAATAGGGATTTTTCCATGTAAACCAGTATAATGCAACTTAATAGGGATTTTTCCATGTAAACCAGTATAATGCAACTTAATAGGGATTTTTCCATGTAAACCAGTATAATGCAACTTAATAGGGATTTTTCCATGTAAACCAGTATAATGCAACTTAATAGGGATTTTTCCATGTAAACCAGTATAATGCAACCTAATAGGTTGCATTATACCACCAGACCAAGACCCAAACGAAGACTCAGACCACCACCAGATAATGACCACAGACCAGGTTTCCTTAGTTACAGGAACCAAATTGTTTCAGCGGTGAGGGGATTTTTCAGTTTCAAGGACACTTTCAATACATTCAGTAGTTTCAAGGATTTCAACTGTTTAAGAATTTAACCAGTTTCAAGGATATCAGGAGGTTCAAGGATTTCAGGAGTTTCCACACTTTCAACAGTTTCCAGGTTTAAAAAAAGTTTCAAGGATTTCAGGAGTTTCAATGTTTCAACAGTTTCAAGGATTTCAGGAGTTTAAAGGTTTCAACAATTTCAAGGACTTCAGGAGTTTCAAATATCTATCAAGTATTTTAACAGTTTCAAGGCCTTTTAAAGGATTTCAAGGATTTTTTTTAGCAGATTTCCACATTAGATCTGTTCCGCAGTCAATCGCAATGGCTTCAGCCATTGCAAGTTTCTAGTTGAATCTACTTTTTATCTGTCATATTGTAGCCTAAACATTTAGTTTTTTGTTTTATTCAATTACATTAAATGTATTCTTTTACAGCCATAAATCACAACAGCTGTTTCCTCAGAGAGAATGAAACCATTTTAAACACATACATGTTAATGTCCATGTATGTCCTGTTCACCACAGTCCGACAGACTGCTGCATCAGAGGAAAATTAATAGTTACCTAATGTAACTTAAGTTCTACGAATAGGTGCGTTGTCCCTTAGGACTTAGCTAGTGGGATATCACTCGTGACCCCCAGGTCACACGCCAGAGAGATCAAAATAATTTGCTCCTCTTAAACGTGTTCTTTTCCTTACTTGACGATGTCTTCGCAGGCCTCCAGCCCGAACCTGTGGTGCAAGCGGCTCCCACACACCACTGGAACAACTCTCAGACAGGTTGCTGCTGTCAGAATCAGCTGGCGCACGCGGACACAAAACAAAGCTACGACACACACCCGCTTAATTCGTCCGAAAGGAACCTGAACCTTAGCGTCAGAGGTTCCGCCTTCCAAAAAAACAGGAGCATTTCATTATTCTTTACACCGATGTTTTGATTATCGGATTTGCGTTTTTCATTACTCTTTGTAAGTGACTATTTGTCCAAAAATAGACTAGCAAACAAAATGTGAACCAAACTTAAGAACATACAACACAAATAAGTCACTAGATTGCAACCATGGGTAGTGGTTTTACGCATTAGCAAAAAATAAACAAATCTTAAATCACACACAGAACAAAACAGAAAGCACTCCAACCAGCCAGCCAATTAAAAGCATGTCCAAAGTATAAAAGGGGATGTAAAGATGTGCGGCGCCCCCACTTTAATAAAACAAAACAGGTAATGTAGAAAAAAAGAGTAATACCAGCTAATTCGGAACACAAGGAAAGTTCATTTGCTTAAGCAAATTAAACAAGGGATTCCAGGCCTGAGTGAATCTGTCAGAGAAGCCGTGGATCGTCATGCGTATTTTTTCCAGCTTAAGAAAATATAAAACGTCCCTAAGCCAGTGGGTAACAGAAGGAGGTTGCGGAGATTTCCATTTTTAGCAAAATTACCCTTCTGGCCAGAAGGGTCATAAAAGCAAGAGAGTTGCCATGTAAGGTGGAGAGGGAAAATGGCCCATTATATATTCCAAACAAAGCACTCAAGGGGTTTGGGTCTATTGTCCTGCCAATCACTTTGGAAATAATGCCAAAAATGTCGGTCCAATAAGTAACCAGTTGTGGACAGAGCCAAAACGTGTGAATAAGATTCCCTGGAGAATGTTGGCATCTGTCACACATTGGGGAGACATTAGGGTATATTTTGGATAGCCGAGATTTTGTGTAATAAACTCGGTGAAGGAGTTTACATTGTATAAGACAATGTCTTGCACATATAGAGGATTTATGAACCCGCTTTAATATTTGAGACCAGTCTTCATCAGATATGCTCTCCCCCAAATCTCCCTCCCAAAGGGCTTTGATTGAGTCAAGAGTATCGGAACGTATTAACGATATCCCATTATATATAAGAGAAATTGATCTATTCAAATTAGCAGCAGGCAAAAGCAAAAAGTCCAAAGTAGAATCCTCGGGCAAGTTTGGGAATGTAGGGAAATTACTTTGGACAAAACTGCGGATCTGCAAATATCTAAAAGTGTTGCTTTGGGATAGAGAATTTAGACGAAAGCTGCTGGAAGGAAGCAAAAACATTGTCAATAAAAAGATCTTTAAATGACTGTACACCATGTGTGGACCAAACTAAAAATGCTTTATCGATAAGTGAAGGGGGAAAAAAGTGATTATTTGCTAATGGAGCATTATGCGAGTAAAGTTGCAGGCCAAAATATCGTTTGAATTGTGTCCAAATTTTGAGAGATATTTTAACGATCTTGTTCTTAGCATATTTTATGGTCGGACATTGGATAGGTGAATAAAGTAAAGCTGCAAGAGAAACTGGTTTAGCAGAGTTCCTCTCCATGATTAACCAGTCTGGAGAAGATGTTCCAGACTGAAGCCAGTATTTAAGAGTTCTAATGTTTGTGGCCCAGTAATAATACCTAAAATTAGGCAAAGACATCCCTCCCAGCAACTTAGGTCTTTGTAAATAATTTTTGGACAACCTCGAGATCTTCTTATCTCAAAGAAATTCTGAGATGAGTGTATCAATTTGACTAAAAAAGGAGCTGGGTAGAAAAAGGGGGATACACTGGAACAAATACAGGAAGCGAGGCAGGATATTCATTTTTACACAGTTAATGCGTGCTACCAAAGACAGTTTGAGCAACGACCATCGTTCAAAATCATCTTTTACCTTCAGCATTAAAGGGGAAAAATTAATTTTAAACAAGTTCTCCGGTTGGTAAGGGACCTGAATTCCAAGATACGTAAAACTGTCACAGGTTACTTTAAAGGGGAAGCGACGCAGGGAAGAAACATTACAAGCTAAATTGAGAGGAAAAATCTCACTTTTGTTTAGATTAAGTTTATAACCTGACAGCTGGCCAAAAGTCAGAGAGTTGACATAAAGCAGCGGGGATTGACGTATTTATGTCTGATATGTATAAGAGTAAATCATCGGCATATAGGGACACCTTTGCCTCCAAACCGTATCTACGTATGCCTGTGATTTTGGGGTTAGAACGTAATGCAATTGCTAAAGGCTCAATGGCTAATGCAAATAGAAGAGGGCTGAGTGGGCATCCTTGTCTCGTTGAACGATAAAGGCGGAAGTAATCAGAATAAGTAGTGTTAGTTCTAACCGAGGCTAGTGGATTGGAGTAAAGTAGTCTGATCCAAGATAAAAAGGTGTCTCCTAAACCAAATTTCTTGACTGTATAAAACAAATGAGGCCATTCCACGCGATCAAAAGCCTTTTCGGCATCTAACGAAATGAGTGCTTCTTGTTAGTTGCTTGGTGAGGTATCATAGATTATATTGAATAGTCTCCTAAGATTAGAAAAAGAATGTCTATTTCGAATAAAACCTGTTTGGTCCGGATTAACAATAGTGGGTAAATGAGATTCAAGGCGTGTAGCCAGAACCTTGGATAATAAGTTTAAAATCTACATTTAAAAGGCTTATGGGGCGGTAAGATGAACAGTTAAGGGGGTCCTTTCCCTTCTTCAAAAGAACTGAGATTGTGGCCTGATTAAGTGTTTGGGGTAAAACTCCGGAATTAAATGATTCATTATACATGTCCAATAGCAAAGGGGCAATTTTATCTTTGAATGTTTTATAAAACTCCGATGGATAGCCATCGGGGCCCGGACATTTCCCACCCTGAAGAGACTGTATGGCAGAATTAAGTTCAGCGAGAGCAATTGGTTTGCCCAAATTAGTAGCGGTTTCCTGAGTGAGCGTGGGAATAGTTAAACCTGAGAAAAAAGTTTCAAAATCGTCATCTGTAGGAGTGCATTCAGATGTATATAGTGAGTTGTAAAATGTTTTAAAGGTCGCATTAATTTCCGAAGGATCAGCTGTTACACTCTGAGCTGCTTGGATTTTAGTTATTTGGCGAGAGGCAGATACCTGTCGGATTTGGTGTGCCAGCAATTTACCAGCCTTATCACCATGCTCAAAAAAACGAGCACCTGATTGAAGCATAAGTTCAGTAGTACGGTAAGTCATAATTGTGTCAAATTCTGAATTGTAATGAAACACGATCCTTATACAAATTCGGAGAGGGTGAGAGTGAATATATATTGTCGAGTTGTGAGATTTGCTCTCTCAAACTACGTAGCTTTTCTTGTCTCACTTTATTCTCATGGTGTATATATGACATAATTTCTCCCCTCATATATGCTTTAAACGACTCCCAAAGGAGAGAGGCAGACACCCCTGGGGTTCTATTGGTGCTTAGAAAAAAGTCAATTTGTTCCGAGACAAAGATAACAAAATTATTGTCCGACAATAAGCGCACATTTTATCGCCACCGTGGACGTTCAGTTGACATCATGCTCAGTTTGACGTCCATTACTAGTGGTGCATGATCAGAGAGAACAATGGCATCATAACGACATGAAGTTATAGATGAAAGTAATCGATTATCAACCAGAAATAAATCAATGCGAGTAAATGTACGATGCACGGACGAAAAAAAAGAGTATTCTCTTTTTGAAGGATTTAAAAAACGCCATGAGTCAGTTACAGAGAATTCGTCCATAAAGGACCGGATCACTTTTGCCGAACGTGAAACGACAGCTGGTTTTGCCGAGGAGCGGTCTAAATTAGGATCGAGCCAACAGTTAAAGTCTCCACCCAATATCAGATAATGCGTAGACATATCCGGTATAGTGGAATAAACGCTTAAAGAAGGATTCGTCGTCGGTGTTTGGCGCGTAAATATTAACTAATGCAATACGACAGCCCAAAATTGTCCCAGTGACAATAACGTACCTACCATTAACATCAGAAATAACCTGGTCCGAAACAAAGGGAACAGATTTATGTAAGAGAATAGCCGTGCCCCTGGCCTTACCAGAAAAAGAGGAATGAAATATCTGACCCACCCAGCTCCTCTTCAATTTCAGATGATCTACATTCCGAAGATGAGTTTCTTGCAAGAAAGCAACCCGAGCTCCAAGTTGCTGAAGATGATGAAGCACTTTTACTGCGTTTAATGGGGTTATTAAGTCCCTTGCAATTAAAGCTTGTGAACCGGAGGTCCTGTCCTATTGAAGACAGCATAGCATCTTAGATTTAAACAGTAGGGTTGTATGAGGGCTAACTTGGACAATTGGTCGACAGTATAAAACAAAAAGAGAGGTTGGCGTGCAAAAACAAAACAAAATGAAACAAAAACATGAAACATCAGAACTCTCGCAGAAGCATCCCCCCAAACGGGATGCGCGATGCCCACTCCACCCCAAAACACCCATAACCTAGCCTGCAAAGGGCCCTGGAGGAAGATTCAACTATAAACCCCTCCAAATGGAATGTGAAATATAATTTTAAAAATTAGAACACACCTTGTTAGGTTAAAAAAAAAAAAACAGATTGACACCTTGGTATAAAAATAAAATATAATACATAAAGTATATAACAAAAAATTTAAGAATACAAATAAGACCCATTAAAGTACAATCTAAAGAAATATTAGCAATGAAAAAAAAGAGAGAAAAAAAAAAAATATAAGAAAGGCAATAATCTACACACAAAATAATGCGGTGGCTAATGATCACACAAAAATAAATAAATAAATAAATAAATAAATAAAATAAAAATAATTTAAAAAGTTATCAATCAAGAAAAATCTATAATTCCCTGTCAGGATAACAATATCTCCTAACACAAATACAGATATTAGTAAGCATGAAATGGTGCTGGACATATCAAGTAAGTGGACCTGCCAAAGAGCAACATAATAATGCCAGTACAACAATGAGAACACTCGAATTATAGTATGTTGTCATAATGTCAGAGCAAAATGTTTACTTCAACCGGTAGGTTACCTAACTTCAAACAGACTCCGGAATCACCACAGTTTTTAAACGTTTCAGCACAAAGTCCATAGCCAATGTCGGGTCTTCAAATTTGTGAGTTTGTCCGCTCGGAGGAGTAATATGCAGTCTCGCTGGATAAAAAAGTCCAAACTTCACACCAGGACACGAGTGAAGCTCCTTCTTGACTTTGGCAAAAGCAGCTCGCTTCTTGGCCACAGAGGTAGTGAAATCCGGGAAGATTGAAACCCTCTTTCCTTTGTAAAATAAGGGTCCAGATGATCCAGCTTTTTGTAGGATTACGCAGCGTTGTTGAAACATATTCACTCTCACAACAAACGGGCGAGGAAGCTCCCCGTCCTTTGGTTTAGGGCGGAGGGTACGGTGGGCACGATCCAGCACTGGTTCCCCGTCCAAGCCGAGCAAGCCCTGGAGCAGTTTGGCCACAAACACAGTTGGACGGGAGTCCTCGGAGCCTTCCGGGACACCCACCACGCGAATATTATTCAATCTCGACCTTCCTTCCAAATCCTCACACTTCTGCGTCAGGGAACCAACACGCTCAGTCAGCGACGCTACCGTAGCATTTAGGCTAGTTAGCTGAGCATCGTGGTCAGTAGCAGTATCCTCGAGGTTAGCAATGGTTTGATCGTGCGCAATAATCTTTCTTTGCAAGGGCTCACAAACAGCAGAGATTTACTTTCTTATTGCCCCAGATACAATCTGTTCAAACTGACTTACAATGTCCGTGCGCATAGTCTCCATCATCACCTCCATGCGTATTAGCAGCCGCTCGTTAGCATTATTAGCATCCTGCTCGGAAACGGCTCCAGGCTCAGGCGAGCCCTCAGGCTGCGTGGGGCCCACCTTAGCTGCATCAGTCTTTGCTCTGGTGTACATGATTGTCTGAAGGTTCACTGCTGATTCAAGAGTCGAATGACAGTAATTGTTATCAGCAACAAGTGGTGTCCAAAAAAAAGTTTAAATTAAGGTGTCAAAATACATTTAGAATCACATTCTAGCGGAGCGTCTGTAGATACGTCTTACATGCTGCGCGCTCCACTTCCGCTCCGAACAATGGTGTAGGTTTGGTTCCAATCTTGGTGGGGACATTCACTACGACCTGAGTCTACACCCATTGACACGGGGTCCAGAGTTTCTCCCCCAGAGTTTGTTGTGTAATCACACACTATATTTGCAATAGTGTGTTGCCTTCTATACTAAACTCAGCTGTAGACTGAATGAGAAGCAGTTAAGGATTTTTTCTAATAGTTAAAACAAAATCAATTGGATCAGAGCTTCTGAGTTTTGTGTTGCGTTCATTCTAACTTTGTCCACAAGATGGCTTAAATGTTTATAGTAAATAAGATAGTAAGTATATCCTGTATTCAGGATCAGGCTGATATGGTTAACAACCTATCTCAAATATGCTGTCCCTGGCACTTTCTTGAGAGTGACTCTCATTGGCTGCCTCCTAAATAGCAAATACACTGTTATGAAACTTTAAAAAATCCCATATTTTATCTTCATAATTCCAGCCTCACCTGAAGCCCAGCTTCGATATCTGCCTGCACTACATCTTCCCTGAATACCTGAGTTCCCTATAATAAATAAAACACATGTAGTACATTAAACAAATCAGATCTAATCATATACAAAATAAAACCACCAACCAAACCAAATAAATACTTTCAACCTCACCTGAAGCCCTGAAGGTCCAGCCACTTCCTCATCCTCTACCAGCACTGCATTCCCTGTTTGTCTGACTTTCCTTTATGGTATCAATAAAAACACACATTCTACATTGAATAAAATGAAACCTAGGCATGGTACACCAGTCGCTAAATATCTCATGAAACTAGAATTGGTTGATGGGTCTAAGATTTTAACTGCTTAATCCTAACCTCACCTGGAGTCCTGTCTTGTCCTTGTCTTTATCTCCTTCTTGAATTTCCATTATATCTCTCAGAGTGTCCTATATTTAGTAAAAGATTTCAGACAACACTTTTTGCATCATTATAGTAGTAAAATATGTTGTAATTGGCATAGGTAATTTCCAACCAAATGATGTTCTTTAACTTTAGTATGATTCTATACTGACTTAAACCTAATCCAAATCTACATAATAGCCCTCACCTGAGGCTCTAACAGTTCAGGAACTGCTCTCGATACTTGAAATAAATCATGCTCTGATCTTTCAATTTCCTATAATAAATAAAAACAGAGGAGAAAATATTGAATTAGAATCTACAGTGAGTAGCTCACTACATTGTTTGACATATACAATCAATCTCTAAAAACAATTCATAGTCCCATGCAAACCTACAAAATTCCAACCTCACCTGATGCACTGAAGGGCCTGTTGCTTCTACCTCAACATTCCCTATATTGTTCTCTTTTGTTGGTTGAGTTTCCTATGTATGTTAACAGAAGATTAATCATCACAATTCATAATTTGCTATTACTTGTGCTTTCTCTTACTTACTTTCCAACTGTTAAAAAAGCTCCTGATATCTTTTATCTTTTTTTGTGGAGGTGGCATTTTTTCTAAATTATATAAGAAGGTATAGAAAATCAAAAACAGACATTCATATACATGAACTGCAGAATCATTTATATAACTTGGCCAATGCCAAAAGTTACATAGTATTTCTCAATACAATGAGTTAACAAGAGTTTGGCAATAAGTAACAGTGTGGATTTTTCTATATTTTCTTTTTTTTATTCCACTCTCAACCCAAAAAGGCAAGTAATGACTCACAGGGCTCTCAAGTATGCAAAAAAAAAACTTAAATGACCTGTTGTGGTGTGTTTTGCGCACAACCAGCATGCATCGTTAACGCAATGGAAAATTTACGTATCCGAGCTTTAATTTCGGGAGCGCTGGTTGCGCTTTGGGAAGAGTCAGGGGAGAGACATGTCAGAGACACAGGGGAGAAACGGGGGAGATACGAGGGAGACCCGCACTTGCAACATGGTTCTGTCTGCATATGGTCCGAGCTCGGTACCATGTTAGAGCTGTGCTTTCACTGAGCGCCGCGGCTGTCATTACAAAGCGGCAGCAGCTGCACCAGGACGTGCACATTCGAGTGCATCGCTTGAATGTGCTTATAGCAAATAACAGCAAGTGCCCGCTGTCATACATTTCACAGAAATTACATTATCAGCAGATAAAGGTTGTAAATCGTGGATCCGTGGAATATTTTCATCCCTAGTTTATCCTGATTCACACAACACACCCACTTATACATTTTGGATAGTAAGAGCACAATAAGTATTTTTTCAGCCTTTCAACCAACCTGTTTCTTTATTGGAGCCAGTTCTGTTCTGTCTCTGTGCGGTGTGAGCTCCTCGGAACATTAAAACTGCGCTGACAGATTAGAAATAACGTAAGTACTTTGAATGGTAATAGATCTACAGTACTTTCCTCTGATTACTCACGTGCTACAACGCTCAGGGAACGAAAAAAAACACTTGCTTCACGCTGGCTAACTTTAAAAAATTAAACAGTTGCTCAGTGCTTCAGTTTGGCGCTGAAGAAGACAGCCAATCACTGCAGAGAACGGAACGGGTCACGTGCTGCTGCTGCTGCTGTTGCTCTGGAGGCGAGGAGGAGGCGCGACGTGTGCACAAACGGAAGACATGTGTCCCGGACCGTCCGGGTCCCGGGACATCATGTCATTTTGGTGGGGACTTTTTAGTCCTCACCAAATATTGGTGGGGACATGTCCCCATGGTCCCCACGCAAACCTACGCCCTTGGCTCCGAATAGTATGTTTTTCTAAATCCAAAGATTAGTACAAAAAGCTTTGCTTTTCTTTTTAGATCTGCTGCTTATTTTTTGAGTCCATTATTGTATCTCTGATATATTTCATAGCTGTTTGTGAGAATTTTTTCATGTATTTTTATTTTAGTTACAAAAGCCGTTTTTCAAACATTTAAATTAGAATCTGTGTTAAAAGTGATTATTGATCATAGACTTCGTCTAAAAAGAAAGAGGGAATTAGGATTAGCTGTAAAAGTATTATATTATTAGGTTGAACTCTACCCAATTCACCCAATTCACATTGAAAGCGGTGACTTTTTTGTTTTGACTACATGTCCGATCTTGCTCCTGCTGCTGCTGCCCAGAGCAGGAGGCCTCTCTGACGAAATAGAGTTTTATTTAAACCAAATCCAGTTTAGCTGGAGCTAAATCGTCTAATCTTTTGTTTTTATTTTATAAGTTTTGTTTTAATGTTTTTCCATTCTAATTTTCATTTTTTTTTTTTTTTTTTAAACTTAAATTTTATTGACATTTTTTATGAACAGAACAAGAACAGTAGACAAAATACAGTCAGCATTAAGAAGTATCACTGTACATCACTAATATTTTCATACAGATCAGAGCAGGGTTAGAGTATTATGCATACCAATATATTTACCCATACTTACATACAAGTCACAACACTGAGCCTGTACTAAAATATGTCAACCAATTACCCCATTTGTAGTGATAGATATTAGCCTGTGTCCTTAGCATGAAAGTCAGACGCTCCATTTGATGAATTTCGTCCACTAGATTTATCCAATCTTCCAATGAAGGCGGGTCTGTTTGAAGCCATTTCCTGGTGATTGCTTTTTTTGCACATGCAATAAAAATTTTGATTAAATATTTAATGTTATTTGGCAAGCCTGTGGGTATGTCTCCCATGTAGAGTGTCATCATTTCTTGTTTAAGTTTTGACACCAGTTATTTGGTCTATTTTTAATCTGACATCAGTCCAGAATGGTTTTATCTTAGTACAGGACCAAAATATATGAGTGTGATGGGCCTCCCTATCCCCACAACCTCTCCAGCATAAAGGACTCTTCAGGTTCCATGTCGTTTGTTGTTTGGGGGTTATAAAAAACCGTGTCAAGTTTTTCCAACTAAATTCGCGCCAGTTGGCAGAGCTGGTGGTCGACAAGGCTGTCTCACATACATTATCCCATTGCTCATTTGTAATGTCCAAACCAATTTCCTTTTCCCATCTCTTCTTAATATAAATTGTTGATTCTCCCCTGCTAGTTGCTAATCCCTGATATAGCTTAGAAATAATAGATGTACATTTTTTGGTATATGATTGTGAAATCAGCTTAATTAATTGATTTGAGCCCAGTTCTGGTTTTGATAGTTTTGTTGATAAATATTGTCTTACTTGTAGGTATCTAAAAAAATCATTTTTCTCTAATTTATACTTTCTTTGTAACATTTGAAAAGTTGGCAACAAGTTCTTATCAAGTATGTTACAATAGGAAGTAAGTCCTTGTCGTGTCCAATCTTTGAATCTAGAGTCAAATTGATTAGGTGTGAAGTCTGTGTCGTAAGCGACCCAACGAAGCGTTCGTGCAAGATCTGATAACTTAAGTTCTTTTAAAGTTTGAAACCATGTAGTCAGTGTAAAAATTGCCAGTGGCGACAGAATGTCTTGGTGAGTTGTCATTAATTTTGAGTCACCAATAAACGCCTGTATAGGAATATTTCCACATATTTTCTCTATCTCTTTCCACCTCGCCTCACAGGTACCATCACACCACAATACCAACGGCCTGAGTTGAGATGCTATATAGTAATCTTTCAGATTTGGTAATGATAAACCCCCCTTTTCTTTGTGGAGCATCAATGTACTAAATTTGACACGGGGTTTCTTTCCTCTCCAAATAAATCGGGATATTTGTTTTTCCCATTCACGGAATTGAGAAGTTGGAATTTTAACTGGTAGTGACATAAATAAGTATAGTAAACTAGGCAAGACCGACATTTTAATTACTTCAATTCTTGAGTGGAAATTAAGTATGTTTGTTGTCCAGTGCGTGAGATCCCCTTTAATTTTTTTGTTCACATCGTCAAAGTTTCTCTTGAAAAGATCATTAGGGGAATGTGTCAGCCACACACCCAAATACCTAATCGCCCTCCTGGACCAATTCAGTTTTGATTTTTTCTTTTAAAACTTCGGCTGGCTTATAGTTATAACACATAATCTGTGTCTTGCTTATGTTTAGTCTATATCCAGAATAAGCTCCAAATGTGTGAAGTGTTTGTAGGAGTGCCTGAATGGATTGGTTTGGGTTAGATAGATACAGCAGGACGTCATCGGCATACAGGGCCACTTTATGCTCTCTGGAGTTCACTGTTATGCCGTTAATATTTGGGTTTTCTCTAATTGCCTGTGCTAATGGTTCGATATAGAGTGCAAATAGGGTTGGCGATAAGGGACAGCCTTGACGTGTTGTTGATCTTTCTAATTCAATCCGATCTGTTAAACGGCCATTCACTTTAATTCTTGCAGTGGGGGCCAAATACAATGTCTTTATGCTGTTAATGGAGGTGTCAGTAAAGCCAAATCTTTCTAAAACTAGTTCACCTTGGAGAGACCCATGAGGAAAACGCATTAGACTTATTAGATTTAAGCATGTTTATTGATTGAGCATGTTTGGCGCCCTAGGCCCGGGCGGGATGCTGTTGAGCACGGCGCTTGCTCGCGTGCATGATCCCCCCGGGGCCTAGGCACTGGTGACGGCAGAGGCAGTAGGCAACACGCTTCATGCGAGAAGGAGGAGGTGGGGCGGCGGCGGTTTGCAGACTTCAGAAGATCGGGAAGTGGGCGTCTCCGGCTTTTAACTTGCTGTCCTGGTGGTTATTGGTTGACTGGGTGTGGGCGTTGCTGGTATTGATGAGTCGAGGAAGAGCAGCCTGTGGCCTGGCAGCAACAGCCGGGTCTACCACGGTGAACTTTCGCGAAAGCTCCATTTCACCTTGGAGAGACCCATGAGGAAAACGCATTAGACTTATTAGATTTAAGCATGTTTATTGATTGAGCATGTTTGGCGCCCTAGGCCCGGGCGGGATGCTGTTGAGCACGGCGCTTGCTCGCGTGCATGATCCCCAAAAAGCGGGCCTGCGATTGGGATAGCAGGACGTACTGCGCGGGCCTGAGAGCATGAGCGAGCTGAGAACATGCGCACGCGCGCATGTTCAGCCAGCCGCTGTAGCAGAGGAATCTTTGAGCGAACTGAGAACATGCGCGCACGCGCATGTTCAGCCAGCCGCAGCAGAGGAATCTTTGAGCGAACTGAGAGCATGCGCGCACGCGCATGTTCAGCCAGCCGCAGCAGAGGAATCTTTGAGCGAACTGAGAGCATGCGCGCACGCGCATGCTCAGCCAGCCGCAGCAGAGGAATCTTTGAGCGAACTGAGAACATGCGCGCACGCGCATGTTCAGCCAGCCGCAGCAGAGGAATCTTTGAGCGAACTGAGAACATGCGCGCACGCGCATGTTCAGCCAGCCGCAGCAGAGGAATCTTTGAGCGAACTGAGAGCATGCGCGCACGCGCATGCTCAGCCAGCCGCAGCAGAGGAATCTTTGAGCGAACTGAGAACATGCGCGCACGCGCATGTTCAGCCAGCCGCAGCAGAGGAATCTTTGAGCGAGCTGAGAATATGAGCGCACGCTCATATTCAGCCAGACGCTGAAGCAAGGAATCTTTGAGCGTTTGAGGAAAGTGCGTGCCGCCACCAGAATCTTATTGCTTACTTGCTTTGCTGGGAGCTTACGAGGAAGCCGGTAGACGTTGTGCTGCCATGATAGCGGTCGCATCTGGCCTGATGTAGGTGGAGAAGCCGAAGAGGACCAGCGCCCCAGCCGTTTGCAGAGGAAGAGTGGGGGAGCCCCAGCGAGGTCGCGCGCGTGGCAGCGCCTATCCTGAAGGAGTGGGCTGTATAGAGCTGGGGAAACAAATTGCAGAGGAGCAGTAGGGATCTTAGCTGAGCTCTGAACCAGGTTGCTGTTATGGGAAGGTTGACTGGAGTGAGAATTAGAGGTCCGTTAAAATCTCCTTTTTGCCGCGGAGGCGAGTGTAACGCATCATGGACCTGTAGGGGCAGAGAGATGTGTCGAAGCGAGCTATTATTGTGTTGCAAGCGCCTCTGATCTTTGAATGTTTGAGATGAAGGTTGAATGGTCAGGGGACATTATGTTGGGTGAGAAGAGCGACCTTTGTTTAATGCTTCCACTACGTCGAGATGATCACGCATGACAGAGATCCTCTTTCTCTGCCACGTGTGATTCCGCAGCGCGCAGGCCACGACCACTGGGAATGTCTCGTGTAGGGCAGAGGAAATGCTCCGGGGAAAGTAGCGGGCCACGGCCGACGAACCACTGGTCCTGGAAGAATCCCCCAAAAACCCACGGAAGGGGCAGCGTCCGTGTAGAAGCGGAGACCTGTAGGGGCAGAGAGACACACCGGAGAGGGCCATGGATGTTGCAGGCGCCTTTACGCTTAGAATCTTGGGTTGGAGAGTAGATAATTAGGCCAGTAGGATGGGACGGGAAAAGCCGTGTCTCGGACCGCATTGAAGGTTGAGTGAGCAGTGGTGAAACGCTTATGCAGAGAAGCCACAGAAGGCGAGCAGAAGATGCTGCGAGGAGGGCAGACATGTACTTGGAAGATGAGCCGGAGTTCAGCGCCGCTGCAGGATGGGCAGCATGATGGGGAGCCTGTGATCAGAAGAGTGAAGAACCAGGTATGGATGCCTTTGATTAGGAGTCCGATTGACGGCTCAGCGCAGCTACTTGGCCAGCTGCATCTGATAGAATCAGAAGATTCAGTAGAGAGATGAAGCACGACCGCCGAAGCGACCCTGGGAGCATAGGTGCGAGTCCGGCGCAGCGCGGCATACTCAGCCGGGCTGCATCCATTAGAAGCAGGATAAGCTTCTGAGAGAATGGGTTGCAGTAGCAGTAGCAGCAGCCTCAGATAATAACAGCAAAAGTCCTGTATCAAGCCGCGGCAGCAGCAGTAGCAGCAGCAGCAGCAGCAGCAGCGTCCTTAGAAAATAACAGTAATAATTCTGTATCAAAGCCACAGCAGTAGAATGTTGTTGTAGCTGTTCAGGGTTTCAGTAAAGAGATGCGAAGTGAAGAGAGATGGCAAAGTAAATGAAGCAGCAGCAGCAGTAGTAGCAGCAGTAGCCGTATGAAGCAGCAGCAGTAGCAGTATGAAGCAGCAGCAGCTGCAGTTTCAGTCGATAATAGCAGCAATAATCCTGTATCAAAGCCAGAGCAGTAGAATATTGTTGTAGCTGTTTAGTGTTTCAGTAAAAGAGATGCGAAGTGAAGAGGGATGTCAAAGTACATGAAGCAGCAGCAGCAGCGCAGCAGTAGCAGCAGCAGCAACGGTAGCAGTATGAAGCAGCAGAAGCAGCATTAGCAGTAGCAGCAGTAGCAGTATGAAGCAGCAGCGGTTGCAGCATCCGTAGATAATAACAGCGATAATCCTGTATCAAGCCACCGCAGTAGAATATAGTTGAAGCTGTTTAGTGTTTCAGTAAAAGAGATGCGCAGTGAAGAGAGGTGTCAAAGTAAAGAAGCAGCAGCAGCACGGCAGCAGGTGCAGTATGAAGCTGCAGTGGCAGCAATAGCAGCAGTAGCGGCAGCAGAAGCAGCAAGCAGCAGCAGCACAATGCAATTCATACGAACAACAGACGTGTCACGCCAGCGTGCGCCGCTTGTCTCCGTGAGCCAGGTTACGTACGTGTCTGAAGAGCCGAGCCGTAGAGACAGGTGCAGCCTGGGAGCCTGCGGAGCGGCAGCGGCAGGAACAGCAGCAGCGGCACATGTAGTAGTCGGAGCAGCAGGAGCAGGCAGCAGGGACAGGCAGCAGCAGGAATAGGCAGCAGCGGGATCAGGCATCAGTAGGAACGGCAGCAGGGACCGCAGCAGTGGCGGTCAGAGAACCATGCCCACGGTTGTTTAAGAGCCTGAGGAAATAAATCAACCCGAATCCGAAACATTCCCATGCGAGAAACAGATGTCCCCTGGAGCCATCTTGCTGCTTTGGTTATGGTAGAACGCATGAACGATCACTGATCCATGCGTTCATTAGCTCCAGCTCCACTTCAAACCCATTGCATATCACGTTGGGCCCCTTTTCTTTCTGCTGCACTTTCGAAATGCAACAACTGCAGTTTAGTTACCCAGTTTAATACTAGTGACCTAGCTATTTAAATGCATGGCCCCTCCTTCCTCCTGCAGATAGACGAATTTAAATACATCATTTAACAATAGTGACTTGCGAGTAATGAGATTGATGCTGTAAAGATGGCGCCATGCAAGAGCTCTGTGTGTGCCGTCTGGAGCACGATGGGGTAGTCTTTGCACATTTTTTCCAACGTGGTTTTACTGCAAGTGGCAGAACATGAATCTGAATTAATGCACATTGCTCCTCTTATATCCCTCAGACATTGGAGATTGATGCCATTTAAGATGCATTGTCCCTCAGTTAGCTCAACACGTGTAAAACGGAGCCTGCAGACCAAGCACGGGGCGAAAACTGACGCCTGCAGTCAATTGCGTAGGGCAAAAACCAGCGCCTGCAGCCTAGACTCCGGGATTAAACTGTCCGCGGTCGGCACACTGACTGTACTCACATGCCAGGAGACTTGGGAAAGCAACGGGACGACGCGGCACCGCCAATCGGAGGCAGGGACACGCACGGCACCGCCAGACCGTCTGCGCGCGGCAGCAGACCACGAGGAACGAGCAGCACAGAACCGCGGAGGGGCCCCGCGGAGCAGCCCGCGAAGAGCCCGCAGAGGAGGAGAGCAGTGGGGATATGCGAACCACAGCAGGTGCAGGGACGTGGAGGAGGAGCAGACCACGAGCAGCCAGACTGAGGACAGCAGGGGCACGAGCAAGACGTGAGCAGAAGCGACCCCTCCAGAACAACGCATGCATTTGCGAACAGGTGCGTTAGCGACATGCACCTTGCAGGCTTCAGAAGTTTGCAGACTTCAGAAGATCGGGAAGTGGGCGTCTCCGGCTTTTAACTTGCTGTCCTGGTGGTTATTGGTTGACTGGGTGTGGGCGTTGCTGGTATTGATGAGTCGAGGAAGAGCAGCCTGTGGCCTGGCAGCAACAGCCGGGTCTACCACGGTGAACTTTCGCGAAAGCTCCATGAATAAGTATTGCCAATCTACACAATCAAAAGCCTTTTCTGCGTCCAAACTTACCAAGGCAGCTTTCTGATTATTGCTTTTAATAGTGTTTATTAAGTGAAGAGAACGTCTAATATTGTCCTGCGTTTGTCGCCCAGCAATAAATCCTGTTTGATCCTCGTCTGTTAAGTCTGGAATAAAGGCGTTTAGCCTGTTAGATATTATGGATGCATATAATTTATAGTCTTGATTTAATATAGAGATTGGTCTATAAGAGCTACACAGAGTTTTTTCTTTACCCTCTTTGGGTATGACAGTAATAAATGCTTCAGTCCAAGATGGTGGCGTTGACATACTTTTTCTTCATTCTTTTTTAAACTTTTTTTATTCTCTCAGGCTGTGTGTAAAGCATTTTATAATAGTCTTTGAAAGCTGCATCAATTCCATCAAGATCATTTTCTAAACTGCCGGTCCTTGGATTCACTATTGAGCAAACAGACTGTGTTATCTGCTTCTGTCTTATTTTCCTGGCAAGAAGCTTTGTAGCCCGTGGGCCAGTTTCATAGTAGGATTGTTTTAAAAATTTATATTTTTTCTCTTCTTCCTCTTTATAACAGTTTGAGATTTGTGTTTTCTTAAGTTTAATTTCTTCTAAGATTTGATTATTTGGAGTTTCAACTTGCTTCTTCTCAAGCTCTCTTAATGACTCTTCTAATTCTTTAAATGTCTTTTCTTTTTCCTTTTTGATAGCTGCACTTAATGATATTAATTACTGCCTTCAACGTGTCCCATAGAATGTTAGGGTTCACCTGACCATTGTCATTTAGTTCTAAAAAGTTTTTTATCTCAGTTTTTATGTCATTTATTACTTTTTTATTATTCAGTAATCCTGTGTTTAACCTCCATATCGTTTTTTTTGGTCTAGAATCTAGGTGAAATGTTAGATATAAGGGCGAGTGGTCTGACAAACTCCTGGTACCAATGTCACAACTTTGGATCCTGTGTCTGTCATTAGCCGCCATAAAGAAAAAATCTATTCTAGAATGTACTTTGTGAGGGGAAGAGTAAAAAGTGTAATCTCTATCGAGAGGACACATTTCCCGCCAAACGTCGATCAAGCCTAAATCGCAAAGACCCTTTTTCAGTAATTTACTTTGTGGTGTGACAGTTCTAGTGTTGGTCGTATCATTTTTGTGCAGGATTGTGTTGAAATCACCCGCACATATCAGCACCCCTTGTGATTCTGAGGCAATCAGTTCCAAAATTCTCTTTATAAATTTGGTGTCATGATCTGGGGGCATGTAGACTGAGAGAAGAGTAGACAATTTGCCCTCTATTTTACATTGTAAAAGTACAAACCTTCCCTCACAGTCTCTTATCTGCTTAATGCACTCAAAATGCACAGTGTTATGTAACACTGCGACTCCACGTTTGTTCCCGGCTTTATGAGAGCTATGAAAAACATTGTTAAATCCAAACTTCTTTAATTTTTTGTGTTCTTTTTGGGATAGGTGAGTTTCTTGAAGAAACATAACTTGCATTCTTTCCTTTTTTATCCATGTCATTACTCGGCTCCTTTTGACAGGGTTGTTGAGACCATTTACATTCCAAGAAGCTGCTCTAATGTTGATACCAGTCATAGTAAATGAATACAAAAAATCTGCAGACTGTAAACACAAAACAGAACAAACGGAACAGTAAAAAAAACAAAATCACTTCCACTTCCAGGGTTTTCATTGTCCCTGTCTTCCCATCCATTGTCCGTCCTTCGAATACAAATGAGGAGAAAAGCCCTACTCCAGGTAGTAGGGGCTCCTTCTTTGGCAGTACAAAGTCCCTTCTTGAGCACACGTAAAAAACAAAAAGGAATTTGAAGTGTCATCTCTTCCCGAACCCGACCAGAATAATGGTTAAAGTAGGTCATCCAAAAACGAAAACTATTCTTTGTAAATCTATACACACACGCACTTACTTGCTTCGTCAGCATTATTTACCGAAACATTTTAGCTAGTCATTCTGAAACACACGCAGTCTTTCCCGTACTCGCTCAGTATGAGTGTTCCCAGCCTTGTTCCAATGCGTATCTCGAGTGAGTACCTGCTCCCAGTCCGTATCTGAAGAGCGGGGGATCTCCACAGAAAGGCCCCTCTTCCTCGCGTCCTCCGCCGCCTCTTTCGCTGTCTTGTACACGCTGGACCGTCCTCCCAATGGACTCTCAGTTTCGCAGGATACGGTGTCTGAAAGCGTATCTTTGCTTCTTTAAGAGACTTCTTAATGTCCTTGTATTCCTTCATTTTATTGTTTATCTCCGTGGGCATGTCATTGGCAAACGTAATAACTTTACCGTCAAAGATGATCTTCTTCGCCCAGGCTGCACGTAACACTTTGTCCTTCATATCAAACCTTTGAAAGTTGACTAGAATGGATCTAGCGGCATGTTTATCCTGTGGCTTTGGCCCCAGAGAGCGATGAGCGCGTTGGATCTGCAAATCCTCCTCCTCTCGTAGGGAAAGTTCCCTCTTCAGAAAAGTGTCCATAAACGATGACATAGAGCTACCTTCCGCATTCTCACTGATGTTATATACACGGAGGTTATTTCGTCTGGATCGGCCCTCCAAATCAGTCATTTTTGTCATCAGGGTTTTCTGTTGTTTGATTGAGTGTAGGAGCGCGTCTCTTAGATCCTTGTTCGCAGATTCGAGTTCACCAAAACGCTGTTCAGATTCCGCCAGACGCGTGCCTTGGTTTCGAATATCCGTAGTAATATTCAGAAGCTTCTGGTTAATCTCCGTTTTGAAATGCGCCAGTTCTTGTTTTATTTCGTCCTTCATTTCTGTCATTTTATTGGACAAGCACATTATAGCTTTAGCCGTGGTTAGCTCCTCCGTAGCTTCAGCTAGCTCTAGCTGGTTTTCCATGTTAGCCTCGCTATCCTCCGTGTCCTCCGCGGTCACCTCCCTCGTGTCAGAGTCATCCTTGGTTGCCTGGAATCTAGTTACACGCCTCATATTTGAATAAAATAATTAAAGCAAGTTTTTTCTCGAGTTGCGTGAACTTTTTTACAACTTCTGGTCGGGAGCGGAGAAGAGTCACTCCGCTATCTTGAAAAGCTCGCCGGAAGTTTTCCATATTTTTGTATTTTAAAGAATATTTTAAAGAATAGGGGCGAGAGTAGCTCAGTTGGTAGAGCATTGGCCTTTGGGCCTGAAGGTCGTGGGTTTGAGTCCACCGTAAGACCTACTTCACGACTCCCACTGATGACTGCTGTCGTCGTGTCCTTGGGCAAGACACTTAACCCCACTTTGCCTGAAGCCCCCACTGAAAGATCTCAGCTCCTGTGGACTCAGCACCTGCAGGAGGATCAGTGAGGGGCTGGTGCTCTGACTGCCACCCCCCCAACCCAGAAATGGATTAAGGGGAAGAAAATGGATGGATGGATGGATTTTAAAGAATAGTGCCTCTGCCTCAGGAGATAAAGGACATCGTGATGATCGAAGTGCTTTGTTCTGAAGGATCTGTAAATAATGTCTATATTTGGATGCCCGAGCTGAGCCGAAAGGCAAAGCTCTCGATTTACCGGTCAGTCTTCGTTCCCTCCCTCACCTATGGTCATGAGCTGTGGGTAATGACCAAAAGAACGAGATCGCGGATACAAGCGGTCGAAATGAGCTTCCTCCGCAGAGTGGCTGCTCCCTTAGAGATAGAGTGAGGAGCTCAGTCACACGGGAGGAGCTCGGAGTAGAGCCGCTGCTTCTCCACGTCGAGAGGAACCAGTTGAGGTGGCTCGGGCATCTGTTCCGGATGCCTCCTGGACGCCTCCCTGGGGAGGTGTTCCGGGCACGTCCCACCGGGAGTAGGCCCCGCGGAAGACCTAGGACACGCTGGAGGGACTATGTCTCTCAGCTGGCCTGGGAACGCCTTGGGGTCGGACGAGCTGGAGGAAGTGTGTGTGGATAGGGAAGTCTGGGCGTCTCTGCTTAGACTGCTGCCCCCGCGACCCGGCAACGGATGAAGCGGAAGAAAATGGATGGATGGATATTTGGACAGTTGTAACGTCGCTCTTAGCACTAAATGTAGTTTGATCATGAATAAGTACTTTATCTGACTTACAGTATGTCGTTAGAGCAATAAGATTGTGCAGACAGTTAAACAAGGTTCCATTTTATTAATAAATTATACATCTATACAATATATCATTAATAAAACTGCAGCTATACAAATCATTGAAAGTACCACATTATTTCAGAACAGCTAAAACACGCAAGAGGTAAGTTCATCCAGAGACCGTCAGAGCAAAGGGTCCACTCTGCCAGATCCACTTCTAATGTGGCCCAATCCAGATCCACTTCTAATGTGGCCAAAGCCGGGACAAAAAACAAAAGAGAAAATAATCAACTCTACGACACGTGCAGCCGTTCTATCCACACGTAGTGAAAATAATACACTGCATTCTCCTGAACATGGGGTCGCTGATGTGACACACAACACACACACACACACACACACACACACACACACACACACACACACACACACACACACACACACACACACACACACACACACACACACACACACACACACACACACACACACACACACACACACACACACACACACACACACACACACACACACACACACACACACACACACACACACACACACACACACACACACACACACACACACAGCCTCTACAAAAGGTTATAGCATTCAACATTCTCAAGAGGAAAACACAACAAAAGAATGACAAAAAATGTGTCATATATTTACTCTACATTTTTCAGATCAGAAATGATTCTATGTTTTCAAAAGAATCTGAAGCATTCTCTGCTTTTACGTCACATCCTTGAGATGAATGTCTTCTATGGGCTCTACGCACCACTTCTGTGTTTTAGTTTTAACGACACGTGACTTCAGGTGTGCGGGATCAGCCTGAGTTTCACTGAAGGTCAGATGTTTACACGAGTTTCCTAAATAATGCTCAAACAGGAATTAAACTGTGAAGAAGCAGTGCATTGTGGGACACAGCAGTGCTCTTTGATTGTGCATTTATCAAGTTAAAGGAACTATACCCGTTTCTGCAGGTTAGAGTGTTTAGCCCCGCCCCCAACTGGCTCACAGGCTTTTCATTTCCCCTACGCTCTCCTCCCACGGAGCCATTCTAGTTTTATTTGCGATCTGAGACATATGCTAACATTAGCATTAGCACAACTTAAGCTGTACAACAATCACTGATGAAATGGGCCTGATTTCTTTGATCATGTTTTGGCTTTAGTTCCTCTTCTCTTCCTCACTGTTGTGTGGTTTGGGCTGTTTTGCTGTGTCTGCAGTTACAGCCAGAGGAGTTATAGCCACTTATGCTAACATGCTACTGTGTTTAGCTGTAGAGGCTAGAGGACGCAGCCTCGTTCTGTGATTGGAGGAGAGCGGGCGCCACGCTAAGTCTCTACTCAGCACTTTTTACTGAGTTCATCCACAGCTGAATCAATGAGCTCAAGTTTTACATTAAATAACAGATTTTAATACAACTTGTCTGTAGTAATAAGCATTTTTATGAACTCATTAGAAATAAAATTGGGTATAGCTTCTTTAACTAATCTCTGAGTGGCCACAGTCAAAGCTGTTCCTCAGAGAGAAAGCACGACCACACGTTTGGGTCTGAGCGTAATGTATTGATCTAAAACTATAAAACGTCACTTCACCTCAGCACAGCCCGAGCGCTAACACAAACAGGAAGTGAACGAGCTGGTCTAAGTTTACAGGAAATGACATCACACCTCCTCGTGCATACAGCCCACAGAACCACTTCAGTTTTTCATTTTGAGTTCAGCAATTTATTTTGTGTGGTAATTATGTTTTAAGGGTTTTCAATAGATTTCATTATTAACAGTTATGAAGTTTTCCAGGAACATCAGGGAAATACTTTGCTAAATACTTGATCTAGTTCAACAGAACAGATTGATTTGTGTTTTCTCTCCTCATCCTGGAGCTAGACCCACACATTTATTAAACTTTAATGATTCTTCACATAAATATTCTAATAGTTCAGATTGACCTGGTGAGGTACAGTTTTCCTCTGATCATTCTATGGCTCAACTAAACCAACATCTGGGATTTAATGTTTGTCTATATGCGTGTTTGATTATTCAATGCAAAAAACAGAAAATCCATCCATATATTTCACTCTTGAACCTTTAGCTGAGCGCAGAAAGTCTGCCGGCGTAAATATATGAATGTATGAGTAAACCGTGGCTTAATGCTTAACGGGCAGATGTCGTGCATGGATGGAAAATTCTAATGCCTTGTATTCGATGCTGTGTGGGTTGCACAGCAGAATGGCAATAAGCTTCTCTATATGTAAATTGGAACTGCCTTTGTGCAAATCACGTCAATAAATTAAAAAAAGTCGAAGTAAAAACTTTTGAGGCACTCAGTGTAGGCAGTTACGGCCCCTGCTCTTTCCTCTGTTCTCTCCGACCGTCGTCACACCGAGCAGCGACCTGGAAACCCAGCTTTGGAAACATGAAATCTGCACGTCGACGGGTTCAAAGACAACATTAGATTCATTCAAAGAGGCGTTGGTGCTTTTATACTGCTGTCCATTGCATCAGGCATAACATTATGACCACATGTTGACTGTATACTGAGATATGCTGCAGTCCAACCAATCAAATGTGCTCATAATGTCACGCCATAATCTGCCCGGCGACCTTCTCCCAACATTCATTTTCCGGTGTTTACATTTCAGAAGGACCCTAAGTTTCTTCTTTGTCGGGCAGTCTACTTGTTTCTGCATCGTTCCTGCGTGATGTCCAGGTCTCAAAGTCAAAGTACGTGTGTTCCTCTGGGCAGCGTCCGGCCTGGAGGTATTCCGGAGGGTCCAGGAGGGTCCAGGAGGGTCCAGGAGGGTCCAGGATCATATGTAGAACTCCTTCATGCTGTCGCGGGCCGCGGGGTGGAGGTGGCTCTCTGTGGGGGGGAAGTCTGTGTACATGTTGTGTCTGTGCTCCTCTTTGATGCTGGTTTGGGATCGTTTCTGCTGGTACAGGAGTCGAGTGACCACGGCCAGAGCGCAGCCAGCGATGAAGACCACGGCCGTCACCACTCCTGGAAGAATAAAAGCAGGAAAAACACATTAAAGGGTGCGAAGAGAGGGAAGAACAACAACATCGGGCTGGGCTTTGAAATAGATTTTGGTTTCTAGAAGTACACCGGGGATTATGTGTTTGGCGTTTTCTTTACACTTTGGGATCAAAGGAGAGACTTCCCTGAGGCTTGTGTTGCAGAGCTGCCCTATGGATGTGTGCGATACAAATAAACCGTA